CCAAAAGACAAAACCGAAAGGTGGTTTTCATGATGTTTTGATTGGAGAACCATTTAAATGCATTCAAAAACAATTCCCACACAAAAAGACTTGAAAACCATTTCGTTTAAGTAAAAACCACGGCTAGCCAAGTTTATGCCGTTTCGCGTGGTTTTTATCAAACGACAAAAAACGAAAGGTGGTTTTTGAAGTGTTTTTGATGAAAAACTATTTAAATGTGCCCAGAAGTAAAAACCAGTCATAAAAAGTTGAAAACCACTTGGTTAGTTCGGACGCCAAAAACCAACGCCGAAAACCGAACGCCGAACGCCGGTTTCTGAAACCCGAACGCCGGATGGCTTGGTTTTTGGTTTGGGCGAACACCAAGTGTTTTTAATGTTTTAAACATGTTTGAAAAACATTTTTATGATGTGTGAAATGCAATGAAAAGAATTTTAGCCTAAAGAGCCAAGGTGTAAAGGTTGGGTCGGTCTTGATCACAATTATGACCGACTCAACAACACTAAGACTAGGGTCTTCGTTCTTGGTCTTCTTTTGGGTCTTGTTCTCTTGCTTTCTTCTTATATTTATTTCTCGCCTTGTATATTCAACAACTTGTCTCGTTCACGGCGGTTTGGCATTATCAAAACCTGTCATAAAAACGAACACGGCTTTAGTACGAAAATGTGATAAACCCGTGTTTCAACAAACTGGCCATTAATCTCCAATTAATTATTTGAGACAAATTTTAACGGAGCATAGTGTAACGAACGTGTTAATGATCTCTCATTAACACGCTACAATTGTCACACCACTAACACACCACTAATGATGATAATTATTATAATTAATTAGTGGTGATAATGGTGGAGGTTATAAAAAATGAAAAGCCATGCTAGCTTATTAAAGTGAATGGTGGTCTCACTTTGAAAAAAGAAACCAAACGTGAGAATTAGAGGGAGTATTTACTTTTCTTTTTATTCTTAAAAAGAAAGTTGAATCTTTGAGAGAGCTATAGTTTTCGGGCCAATTTTTCTGGCGGTCCTCATCATTTTTCTGGTCGATAACACTTCAACGACGTTCTCGTTCGTGGGTGTGAGGTTGGTCCGTACAACCACCACACACGATAGCGGTTTTATCTTAGGAGGAAGGTGCCCACGATCTCTAGTATAGTAGGCGGGCACTATTACCTTAAGGACTGCTCCGACGACTCCGCTGCCCTTCTACAGTGTTTTATTTTACAGATTTTGTTCCCGAGTTCTACGTCCCAGTTCGCTGCTTTTTTTTAGTGCACAAAGTCCTTATTGTGAACGAAGGCCTTTGAAGATCAGAAGCTAATTTTATTTTATTTATTGGAATTAATCCGAATAAAATTATAAGTTCAGATTATTTTATTTCTTTTAGTTTCTTTCGGGACCGTTCATCTTCCCCATCAATTGTAATCCGTACGATCAATTGTAGCATAATTATAAATATTCGGTGGCCTGGGTAAAAATGTACGTACGGGTTCCGCAAATCAAACTTGAGGATCACTCGTTGGGAATATCACACAACTCGACAGTGAGCATTCCGCTGTTCGGTTTCTGGTTGCCCTCAATCGAAGGTAAGTTTAAGATATTGAAAACCTCTTTTATATTAAACTAGGTATAGCTCAAGGATTGTTTAGGAGTACCTTAAACTAAAATATAGTTTAATTATCTTAAACTAGAATTTGTTTAAGGGTTGATAAACATCAAAGAGAATTACCTTAGACTAAGAATAATTTAAGGATATTGTTGAATGTTAACACTATGAAAATAGAATATGAATGATGAATGTTGAATATGAATAATGAACATGAATGTCTAATGTTGAATAATGAATATTGATTATTAAATATCTGAACTGAATATTATGTGCATGATATCAAACGATTTGATTATGAATTGAGATTCGATTTATATGGATGTTCGACGCATTAGATATGCTTACTCAGCTTCAATGCTGAGCGTGTAGTATGCTTTATTTGCTACACGAAGGTTAATAGAAATATAGAATGATGTGACGTGATCCTGGAGGCAGACAGATGCGAGATAGTCAGAATGGATATCATGGTTTTGAATTGAAGAACATAAATAAATTGTGTTTATGATTGTGATTTGTTAAGATTCCGCAATATTGAGAACTCCGTACTGTTATGTTATAAAAAATATTATTGTGATTAATAAAAGTGTTGAAATGTTTTAAATTTTTACGATTACCAAGTTAATACTTTAGCCTGAAAGGGGATGCAGACCTGGATGGATTAGGGTGTTACAGTAATGCCCAAACGCATTTTTAATAAGCTGAACATTGGGAATTGAAACCAACAGGGGTAGTGATCCAATTAGCTGATAGGAGTTATACTTATCTCGAGGGTCTTCTTGAAGATATCTTGGTGAAAGTCAACGACTTAGGTTTCCCTGCTGATTTTTATGTGCTAAACATGGGTACAAATACATCTGACATACCCATTCTTTTTGGTAGATCTTTCATGAAAACTGTAAAAGCTAAGATTGATGTTTATAATGGGGTTTTGTTGATAGAATTTGATTGTGAAAAGATTGAATTTAACTTGTCTTTTGTAATGAAAAGTCTTGAAAACAATCAGTTTTGCTCTATGGATGTGATTGATGATTCTGCTCAAGCTATTTTTTAACTTATCTGGTGATGATGTGCTTGATTATGTGTTGTGTAATAGCTTGGATAGGGTAGAACTTGAATGCTTAGAGTACAGTCTTTCTAGTGAAGTTCTAAACCGAGTTGAATACCTTGCTAAGTTTGAAGAGCTAGAAAACCTTACCCATCTTGTTTATAAGGCTGAATTGCTTGAGAATAAGCCTAAGCTAGTTTCGTCCTTAGTGTCTCCACCTGAACTAGAGCTTAACGACCTGCCCAAAGACCTTAAGTATGCATTCTTAGGTTCAAAACAGACCCTATGAGTGATTATTTCTAGTGTCTTGAACAAAAAACAGGAGGAGAAACTACTAAAAGTCCTGGTGGGACTTTGATATACTTAAAGGGGTTAAGTCCTCTACTTTGCAGCCATAAAATAAGCCTAGAACTTGATGCCATACCTAAAGTAGATCAACCTAAAAGACTTAGGCCCCGTTTCATTCAACTTATTTTTTCTTATTTTTTCTTAATCTTATTAAAATCATACTAGACCAGACCAGACCAGGTCAGATCAGGTCCAATCAGATCAGATCAGATCAGATCAGACCAGATCCAATAAGATCGGATCAGATCAGATCCAATCAGATCAGACCAGATCAGATCTCATCAAGGATTATTATTATTATTATTATTATTATTATTATTATTATTATTATTCTTAAAATTGAAAAAGAATAAACTTTAGAAACAAGTTAAATAGAAAACTGAGGAAGTAATCCTTACTTATTACACGTATTTAATATATATA